AAACCCAGCCTTTTTTTTCTCCCCCCCCCCAACACGCTCGTCAAGGTTCCATGGTTCGCGTCAGTAAGAGAAATCGGTTGACGCGAAAGAGCGAGAAGCCAAGCCCGCCCTTCCGTCTCAACATGGTTCCCGGCACACCTAACCTACCCGGCCCAACTACTTGGGGAAACAAAAAAAAAAACGTTGCTACAGGAATCACCCCGGCCCGTCCCTTTATGTTTCTCCGCCCGTGACACCAAATGAACCTGCAACAATTACTCGTTCATTGTTCCCTCCCTTTGCGCGGTAGAGAGAAGGGTAAAGGTGGTCTGAGGAACATCGAGGGTGTGTGACGTCTATCTATCTGTCTGTACTGTGCCAACACATGAGACTCTACCGGGCCGTGGAGGGTGAACACTCTAAATTGTGTTTTTTTTTCTGGTTTCTTGTTCTTACCTCCATTGGAGAAATCTGACCACCCTCTTGCAGTCTACCTCTTCATTAAACCCACCGTGGAGAGAGAGGGGAGAAAAAAAAAAAAAAGAAACTCGGGAAAGTCTATATGTGAAGATGATGCCACCTCGCCAAAGTTCGTCTTTTACAGGAGACGTCGGGGGTTTATGACGGCTCCTCCCTGCGGCCGGCCGGATAGAGAGGATGTTGACCCTTGAATCGAAGGACACACCACGTGGGCGGGATAGGGGGGAGGTGAAGGGGGAAAGCATGTTTTGCTTTTTCGTGGGGATCGGTCAGGAATAGGACCGTGGCGAAAGAAGCCCGTATTTGCGTCGCAAGTGTTTTCTTTCTTTCTTTTTGCGTCGTGATAAGCGCGCCTGGGCGGCTGGTTTGTTTTTGGTAGGTAGCTTTCGTTGGCTTACTGCATGTCTCTGCGCCATGATGCTGGGGCAATCAGGATATTGGGCGTCCGCCCCGCAGACCCCAGCGTCCTGGACGCAGGGTTGGTGATTCCCGTGTTGTTGGTGGTCGTGTGGTCGGCTTGGAGACTGATAAATACCACTTTTCTTTTCGTCGGGGTTGGCGTATTGGAAGACACTTCTGGGCTGTTCGGTGCAGCGAGTGGAATACGTCTAGTTTTTTTTTTTTCCCCCATCCGAAAACTAGTGCGTGCTCAGCCCTGTGGAGGCCTCGTTGGGTTCTTGCTGATGTGTTGTTGTGTTGGCCGTGTTAGACCTTTGCGGGCTTGCTTGTGGTTCACTGCGTTTCTGGCGGCGAGCAAAGTCTCCGATGTATGGTAGACACAGGGACTCGCTTGTCAAGATGTAGTTTACACGCAGAAACTCTTTTTTTTTTTTTCGTATGACATGCAGTTTACTGAGACGAGTCGACGTGAGAGGATTTACAAGTGACCTCTGGATATGGGGTAATAGACTGGCCATGAATAGATCACGGGTAGGATCTCGCACGAAAGCAAACACATCAAACGACCGGAACTCTAAGTAGCATTTTACGGAACCGACGCAGCCAGTGTTTAACTTACTTCTATTGTAAAGTCAGCCGGAGCGGGTTCTGAACTGAAGCGTTCAGGGAGGCGGCAACTAATAAACTTTGATGAGTCTATTAAAAAAAAAAAAAACAGCTGTATGTGACGAGGAAGCCAAAAAAAAAAAAGTCAAGTATGCTATGCGGTAGAGACTCAGTCGGCCACAAATGCCCAGAAGTTTGCCGCGCAGAAACTTAGTCACGCTTACAAACCTGATGTCGCTGATTCAGACAGAATCACTCGTGATGAGCCGAGTCAAAGACTTCCGTAAAGCCCTCGACGTCTCTTCATTTCGCACCCTGACTACTTGTGAGTCAAGAACGCTCCTGGCCCTGTAGGCATTAACAGGCCTGTTATGGTAAAAGGATAACGATTCATTCACTGTCGTTGGCATTTTCGTATGGAGCAGAAGGACGAGATATACGCTCGACGATTCGTATGAAGATTTGCTTTCTAAGCTCACATTCCATTCTGATAACCAACCTTCTTGACTCGAAACATTAAAGCAACTCAGCCAGGAAACACGTTAACAGCACGGTAATACGGGCTGATTCAAGGATGGGTAACTAACATTTTTGCAATAAGTACCATCAAGATGGAAGGTTTATCGTAGAGACAACTCTAACTTTATTCAATGTAACTATTGGCAACTTTCTCCATTATAGTATTGCCCAACAGGTTTATTACTGGTTTCCATTTTCTGTTTCGGCCAAACTTTTACAACCTTGTTTTGACAGCTGAAAGTCAGGGGTTCAAACCTTCTTTCATTTGTAAGTGGAAACACCTGGCGACGATGCCACAAGGAAGTGAGATTTCGTTACGTCTCTTCCCATTCCAAGGTTCTACAGTTTTTCAGTTAGACTCGGCTGTTAAAAGAAAAGAGATAAACGGGCAAAAAAGCTTGTTCGGAATCTTATCACTGGAGAATTCAGTGACTCGTCTGAGCAAAGGGAGGCGATACATTCGAGTTAAAGTTGACGAGGAAGAGGCATCGAAGAGATCAGTCGGGAATAGTTGTGTCCAAACTTACGCAAAGTCGACTCTTATTCCCTCGCCTCAGCTTCATGGCTTCTTGTAGGGTGGTTGCGACGCTATCGGCGAATTATAACAACGAGGGTTGGGTTTCTCATAGAACCGAGACAAGCGCATACGTTTCGATAACTGGGACGTCACGGCGGCGTGGAAACAATGACGACTTGGCGGACACAACATCGTAGATAAGAAAGTCGAGTGCCAACAGTGAAACTCGGTTAGGGGGTTAGAATGTGAAGCTGGACAAGATGAGCTGATGGGGAATAGCGAGCTGAGTTCCTGCCGCTGCGATGTAGAGTTTGGGAGTTACTACAACAAGAAGACCGTTTTCATGATTTTGCTGAGGGTGTTAGCTTGTCTGATCGCAAATCTAGATATCACGAGGCTTGCGGTGCTAGTTGAGATGTCTGCTGTGAGCCGTCAGTTCGCCAATCTGGACGTAGGTGATTGTACCTCGGCCACGTTCTCAACTTCTGGGACATCTTACACATAGGTCCTTGTCGTCATGATTGGCAGTGGCCTGTTATCCGAACACTCTCCGCTCAACTGCCTACCTGCTATCAATAGCTGAACCAGAGCGTTTACATGTTATACATCCAACTGGCCGCCGTCAGGGACGATTCTATTTATGACACATGTCAACGCGTTGATGGTGCGCTGACAAGTTCTGAAATCAGATCCCTTGACGATTATTGGCTGTCAGAGCATTTGCCCTGCAACCGCAGGCTTGGTTCCCATTGACAAGTGCAAGGCCACAAGTATCGGTGGAGGAATAGGAGCTCATCACCTCTCTGTGATTTTTGCAGCTCGCTTGCAATTTCATCAGTAGTTGACGTAAATATGGCAGCCTTAGTTTTTAAGCTGTGCGTAAGGCGGAGCCAGTTTGCTAGACTTTTCATTTGTTGTAAGGTATGATTTACCAACAATCAACCGAGAGAAGGGGTAAACAAAGCGAGAAAGCAATACCATATCATGAGCCGTCCTTACAGTTTTCTTCGTCAACTTGTTGTCGAATCCATTTCATTTCGGCCGCAGTATCAGGTCACCTAACCGGGCAACCCCGTCAATGTTCGATGATGAAGCGAGTAACAATAGCAGCATCGTCTCGACAATAGAAACGGTTCACCCGTGCTATTTGCGGTTACTGAATTATTCAATGTGTTAGCTATAGGGATGTAAGACGTGTCGGAAACGTCAACGGCGTCTCGTCCGCCGTCGAGCAACACATGCCAAGCATCAGAGCCTCAGCCAAGACAACGACGACACTATTTTATCATCCTTCGGCAAAGCATCCGAGAGAAACAATGACTGCTATGCATACTTCAACCCCTAACTCAAACCCGATTAAAGCCACAGTCGTCGATCATCCATGAGATTGACACCATGCTTGACGGCTGCAGATCTATCTCGAAATCTCTGGAAACGGCCGCCACCACCACCACACGACACGATTGAAAGGGACAAGGACGCGTGGCGTAGTTGTTGTCGCACCTATGATTTTCGACGAAAAACAACACATAACAGTTATTTCGTCAGCATGTGTAACATCCGTCGTTCATCGTCGCAAAAAGAACCAAGACATCGGTGGTTAGACGAGTGAGATAATTTTGAGGTGATTGAATGCAAGCCAAGGATGATCTTATGCCAAGAGGAAGGGGGGCCCAAAGCTTGAAAAATTATCCCGGCGATACTCTGGGAATCCCCGTTTCCTCGTTAACTGCATAGCTGCCTGTTCCTTTCGTCTCTGAGCTCTTGGCTATGCTGCCTTTGTCGGTACGGAATGTGAGCGGAAATGCGAACAATGTCAAGGTGTATGAGTAGAGAGCCTGCGGTTCAATTGTGTCGGTATTTTAATGCCTGTCCGTTTACGGGTTATTCTTGAAGATGTTTGGGCACAAACAATGGCCTTTAATCGATATATCGGACGGGCAAACGTTCATAGGGAATGAATGTTGTTTGCCGATATCTCTCGCAAGTCAAAGCGATAGAATATACGATGAAGCATTTTCGCATCCATGGATTATTTAAATGTACCATATTGTTTTGATTAACCTACCATTGGTGATATCATTCCTTGTTGCCTAGCTACACTACATCTCCGACAGGTTTTCACAAGTCATAAAAGCATGTAGTCAAAGAAAACAATTATTATATCTATCATAGAATATTATCCAGCCAATCTATTACATATTACCAGGTATTCCTTAGAGTATCCTTCTTTCCAAAACGTAAGGGGGAATCTTAATATGATCAAACGAGTGAGGGTATTTCAAGTCGATATTCGCCCAGTCTATTACAAATCCGCCGTGACGCTTCCTTCCAACTCCCGTATCAAAAGAGTGTGCTCATTTCTTGTGTCATTTGTTTCGTTTTCGTTCGTGTGTCGTTGAAGCGTCAAATGAGTTGCCGTAGACAAAGTCATTGGCAGAGGGGTTATGAGACTCCTTAATTTGAACATCTCATGGTATCCCACATGTTGCAGGCTAGCTTAGACAGCAGCAGTTGTTGCCGGAGTGGCGGCGGGAGCGGGGCCGGGGCCGGGAGCGGGAACAGCCGACTTCTCGGGGAAGTGACCGCCCTGGGGAACACGGCCGTACTGGGTGAAGTAGAGGTTCAGGGCGTTGTAGTCCCACTTCCTGGAAAGGATAAGGAAGAGGACGGCACCGAAGGGGATCATGAAAATATCCAAGATGCCGAAGAAGATGAAGTGAGGGGTGACGCCAATGGTGTTGCCTCCCTCAGAGACACCAAAGGCAATGGGGTAAAGAAGCCACAAAAGGTTGAAGTAGCCAGCGAGGATCCAGTAGTCGCCAGCAGTGCCCACACGTCTGGCACCGACGCGGCCATGGGTGAAGGTCGAGACGGCCAAGGCAAGGTAGGCGACGGTGCCGAAAGCGAAGAAGCCCCACTTGTAGTCAGACGAAGTGTAGGCAGAGACGAGGTAGCTAATGACCCAGACCCAGGAGAGGAAAATGTTCCAGACAATAGTGGCCCAGGACATGTTAGCGACGAGGCCGAGGAGGATGTTCACCACGGCGAATGAGACAACCCAGTTGATGTACTTGGTGAAGAAGATTTGGCGTCCAGACACGAGGGACCAGCCGAGATCAGAAGCGTTGGCGAAGTAGGTGATGGCGCCGACGAGGAGAGCGATGCTTAGGAGGTAGTGGAAGATCTTCTCATTGCCCCTGGGTTTGAAGGACATGGCATACACGCCGAGCTGGGATGGTGTTAGCTGGCCCTAGACGAAGGGGGCAGGGTAGTAAGAGGTAAGACGTACGAAGAACAATGTGTAGATGGCGACGACGGCCCAGAGCCAGTTGGAACCGTTTACGCTCAACCGCTCTACCACTGGTGGGGGTGGGTTGACGTCGAGAGCCTCGTTAGCTCGGTTCAGAAGTAGACCCATGGCTGCGTTTGTTTGGATGTTTGAGATAATATTAGATGGTGTTGTAGGTTATCTCGCAGAGTCCGTCTGATACAGGGCTGGAAACGAGATCAGAGCTGTTATGATCGCCGCGAAGTGGTGGAGGCTGTCTTAGACTGTGCTGTTTGTTGGTGTTGTGATGGGCCAACAGATCTCTCGGAAAGGAGAAGAGGGAGGAGGGTCTTATACTTCTGGTCAAGGCCAGGTGCCCTCAACTTCTGAAGCGGGATACTGTCCAAGGGTTTCAGCATGTGAATCACTCATACCTCTAGAATATCGAGCGTCACTAACACGTCCGAGGCGTCCGATGACTGGCTCTCGCCGGAATGGAGACTTGCGATTCGAGGCCGGAGGAGACCCTTGTTCCCATCCTCCCATCCTCCCATCCCAGAAACCACCTAGTCATGGTCCCCAGGGCGGATGTTACGGGCGGGAGTAAGGTGAATCGTAAAAGGTCCCGCTATTGTCGGAAATCGAAGGAAAGATCTCTGCCCTGTTGACAAGGTCTTTGGGTCAGGCGACCTTGTCTGAAGTCAGCCAAGTTGGAGAGAAGGTTTGTCTAGATGGAACGATTCTGCACGAACAACATGGGCTGCAGTACGTTCCAACAAGGTCCGCTCCCAAGGCTGCCGGGGAGGAACCCTGGAATGAAGGCGTAGTTTGTTTGTGATTCTGCCAATCCAATGTGGCCATTGGTGAGGGTGCTGTGGAGAAGGTGATGAGTCGATGATGGGGCCAGGATGGATTTGAGGTTATGTGAGCGTCAGAGCCGCTTGCACCGAGAGGTATCCCGGTAATCGCCTGCAGATGTACCTGAGCATGACACCGGAGAAGGTGTGGATCTCATAATAGGTAGGGTATCGCATCGTTACTTTATTCATCAAGCAACATGTCGAAGCGCCTCATTTGTTGGTTTGAAGGCGTCAGCGCCAATGGTCTAGCATTATTAGTCTCTGTCTTGGTCTTGTACGGCTCCCATCCCAACAATGCCGTGACAGGCTGCAGCTCTCAAGCTCGGACATTTTTGTGTCAATCTTTCCAATTGCATGCCTGTAGGCCCGGAGGATATCGTCCAGGCTTCCAACCCATCAAGCTTGACCTCTACATTAGCCATTATGTGCGCTAGAACAACCGGCGAGGAAAGCAAATCCCGACCTGGGTAAACAAGATGCACAGACGCATCGTTCGGCGGGTTTGAATCATAACAAGAGACACAATCCTTGTCGCTACCCGCGAGTGACCTGAAGGACGATGGGGCAGAAAGAGAGGGAATCCTTGCCATGCATTGCAGAACGGGCAGAACGGGGCTTCACAAGGACCCAATTGCAACACACGTGGTTCGGCACCAAAGAAGCCACCATTAACGGCTCTAAACATTGGAGCCCGTCATTGGATTGGTAATGCTGCTGGCGCAAATGTGGAAAAAAATGAGGAAAAAAAAAGTCTGGACATGATGACATCGACTTGATGGAAGCTTGCATGCCAGCCACACGTGTTGCCTGAGGGAGCCATTACAGCGACTAAACCTCGCGGAAGACCCGCTCCGGGCTCCCCGACCGCATTCAACCGGCGCACATTCGGCACTGTCGGGATCCCGCCACACTTAGTACGCATGCCCTCTGATAACTAAAGGGCGTATTGTCCAGACTCATATCGTAGCATTCTTTAGCAAATCAAAGACGCTAGCTTTTGAGTAATGGTGATCAGGGCCAAGGCAGGGCGCCATAGTGACACCCAGGATGGGAGGGTTGACGTCCCATCTTCTCTATCCATCTCACCTCACAATACTCGTCAACTGGAAACCAGCAAAACGAACGGCTCGCATCCCCACAGCAGCCCATATTTCATCTCATCACAGGGTGGTATGCAGCTCAGATAGTTCTGTCGAGGAGTCACGCCAGAAAGTTTCAGAAACCAATGGCGGGGTATCAACGGGTAAAGACAGCCATAGCTTCGAGGAGAAGGTATCACGACGTACTATGTATTCAGAGACCTCTCTCTCTCTCTCTCTCTCTCTCTCTCTTTCTCACCCCTCCCAAAATGTAATCCATCTCACACGCTTATTCGTCTTCCCAACCGGATAACATGCGGGAAGCAACTCCATCAAACACAAGGCCGGTAGTTGGACGCACCACACCGCGCCAAGATGTAGCAGCAGCAGCAGCAGCAGCGTTGTTGTATCTCGATGCCGTTCCGGCCCCCCTCTCTCCCCCCTCCCCAATCGTCTGCAAAATACTTTCTGGCCCTGTCCATAAGTGAGGGTAGTGGTCCACAATCCAATAACCCTCCCCTCCCTCCCACTGCGTCATGCCACCAACACCCCTGTGCCGAACGACCCTGTCGTCGATCGTGACCCGGTTTGGAACCCCTCCAAGGCACATTAGCGGCGTCCACTTTTGAACCTGTGGTGGATCCCGCCTTATGTGAACCTAGCTCGGCGTTTGTTCTTGTTTGCCTATTTTTTTCTTTTCCAGAGCTTTCTTCCCTTTCCCTCTCGTGATCATCAGATCACATGGAGGACAACGAACCCATCCGTTGCTTCCGGGGACTTACACAATAACACCAAATCCTGCTGCGAGCGGTACTAACAAGGAGGGAAAAAAAAAAAAAAAAGGGTTTCGAAATGTAACGGGCGACAAATGGAGACCAGAAGAACCGCTTTACATGATTCGAAATACCCCTCGCTCGGCCATCTCCGCCAGAATCAATCTCGAATGACGTCCGAGCCGACCGCTACTCCGTTACACGCATCCGTTGCCGGGATTACTCACAGGGGAGCCTCCGGCGAGAACACAGCATATGCAATGTCCGATTTTCCGTGCTGCAGTGGAATCAGTCGATGTCTCCCACAGATTGTGACGTTTCCAAGCTCCATTGGGTTAGAAGTCAATCCATAGCACACTCAAGTAGCTACTTGCCTGTACCCGAATGCTTCGGATCAAGGCGTTCATCATACGAGACACGGCAGAGTCAAAACGAATAGATCGATTGGCTTTTTCCCAGTAGAACCACGCCTTGGCTTACTACTCTTCTTATTCTTACCCTCTTCGTGAACAGCCATATGAACCACGTAATCCTCAACTGGACATGTCTTCTCGTTAAAAGACATCGCGTAGCATCACTTACGAGTTGCGCTCTGAATCTGGTCAGACTGTAGCGAGATACAACCTTAGTTGAGAATCAAACAATAGTCAATACCTGAGGTAACGGCGCCCTGGGTGCTCAAGCTGACAGGTACATTTGATTCTCGGCCCGTGGCAAGCTAACAGTGAGAACCACCTGACAACGTTGCCTCCACCCCTAAAATACACTCAGCCAACGTTATTACCACTTTCAAACACGACAAGTCCTCGATAGAAGATGTAATCATATCCAATCAATGCCTGTGCTTCATTCATCATGTACTGTTATACCGTATACAGTATCCCCTGCAAGCAAAACTCCATGTACATCTATCGTACATGCATATAACACACCATTTCAAACACACCCACTCGCGCCTTCTAATAATTGCTGACCTGCTTCATCTGCCAAACCGCACTTTTGGCCCGCTCCCGCACGTCTAGTTCGCAATCGTCCTCTAAACCCTCCAGCTTGGTAAGGAAACCCAGCTTCTTCAGCTCGTACGCCCGCTGAGCGCACGCCCGCGCGTCGCTATCGTCGTCCTGCCACGTCAAGTTGCTGATCAAGTGGCAGAGAGCAACCCGTACCTCCTTGTCCTTGCTATTGAAGTGATTTGCCAGCAGCTTGAGCAGGTCCGTCTGCGCAATGACCAACTGTCGATGCCTGGGAATGCTAGCTGCCATGTGAACCAGGATAAACACCACGGCCTCAATGATCTTGGCTTGCGGGTAGAGCACCCGAGTTTCACGCCCCGAGCTCCCGCCCGCGCCTACTGACCGCCTTGACGTTGGGTGGAGGACCTTAGCCTGCAGTTTTCTGGCCAGTATATCAAAGAACCTATCTTGCCCGAGCTCGTTGAACAGGTAGTCAATCATTTCCGTGGTTTCGTTCGCCGATTCTGAGCTCGAGCCAGACCCCGTTGCTCCGATCAGGTTTCTGATGAAATCGAGCCCCTGCTCCTGAATGGCGAGATCATCGTTCCGTGCTTTCCGCAGCGGGTTTAACTCGGCCTCGCGCAGGGCTGCCAGCTTAGCTTCCGTTTGCCTGAGCTTGGCTGCCCGTTTGCTGTCAGCATCTTGTGGTTGTATGGTGGAGCTCAACCACGATTTAGACAACGGATCCGTCTGGTCCATCTCAACATCTCCGTCCATGTCGTCTTCGGTTTCCACTGCGGTTTGTTTATCCATCTTTGATCTAGCCAGGAAGAGTGCCTCATCCTCCGTGTCGTCGCAGATGAGCTGCACAAGCCATCCGGATTCAAGTTCCTCCAGACATTGCTTCTTGGTCTCGGGGTCCACGGCATGAACGAAATGCTTCAGTGCCCAGAGAGCGTTTAGTCGCAGAGCAGCATTGAGCGAATGTGCGTGTTCGCACAGGATCCTCATGACACCCCTATCGGCGAGAACCTATAAAAGATTTGTTAACAGGTAAATTCTACTGGAACATGTGGCGATTTGCTTACCTCTCTCATGGGGCTGACTTCGGTGACCAGATTGCATATCGCAGCAGTTGCGGCAATTTGGACGTCAACGTCAGGATGTCTGAGGAACCGGAACAAGGGAACAGCAACAGCATAATCGACCAGGGAAGTTCGCAAGATGCTCACGGACCGCGACAGCATCCTTATTGCGTGGCAGCCCGCAATCAGCACTGACAATGGATTGCTACCGTACCCAGAGTTGTGGTCAGACGGTGAGCCGCCAGAGACGGGTCCATCCGGCTCGTTCGTCTTGGAGCGGTCCTTAGGGTTCGACGGCTTGCCGGGGGTCGGAGAAAGAGACTGGACGATGTGGGCTACGACATCTTGCTCGACAAACGCCTTGCGGTACTCATCCTTGCCGGCCGCAAGGGCCCCGATCGCTTTCAGCGCACTCTCCCGCGTTCTTACCCTGTGTGCTAGGAGCGGAGGCTGTCCTTCTGGCCCCAAAGCACACGAGGGGGACGTGTTTTCCGTCTCCATATTCGTATCAGCTTGCGGCGACCATATCTTGGCATATGCTGACGGAGGAATCGGTTCGTACGCATCTTTGAGAAGCTTGCTAAAAGTCTTGACGGCCCCGCAGTCAAAAGCAGCCTTCTGAAGAGGTTCACTGTCGGTGATCATTCGAGCAAGTATCGCTGGCGTCCGCTCCAAAATCGCCCACTTCAAGGCCGTCTCCGCATCGATTAGAGGGGAATTGACCACCGGCGGTGAAACTTGAAGCTGGTCCAGCATTTCCGTGAGTACGGGCACGACCAGTAATCCAAGGCTGGTTTCTCTCAAATGTTTGCTTCCGAACCCAGACCTGAAGAGCGATGTCAAGAGGTGAGCAGCCATCAGCCGCTCGGCATTTCGACGCGACCTGATTAGAAGAATGAGCCAGGGAATAAGAGGGCTCTCTTGATCCTCCTCAGGTTCTCCCTCGTTTCCAAACAACTCGAATCGTGAAGCTTCCCAAACGGATGCGGTAGAACTGTATTTACTGGCAGCTGAGCGGGCCCGCTCCAGCGCGTCAGAGGCACCAAGCGGGGGGAAATGCGACTGTTGGGAACCCGAAATTCGACCTTGGTGCACCGGAATAGCAGGAAGCAAATAATCCATCGCACTGAGGTTTTGGTGCCGCGCATAGCCGAGACCGGTTACTTCGAGTGAGTTCCAGGGAGCTCGGATTTCTTTCGCAGGGGTAAACTTGATGGAGGGGAAAATGGCCATGATTGCAGGAGAGCATAGTAGCATACAAGCCCTGAAGCGTGAATCAGATATAATTGTAGCCAATGCTTCCAAAATCGGGGCCAGGTTAGAGGTTGAAGGCGCCGCGTCCGGAATGGAATCAGACAAATCATCCACGCGCCCAAATATTTCAGCGTAGGGGACAACATGCCCTTCGGCAACAGCAATGCTTGCTAGCCTTGTCGCGAGCGAGTCCAGAGCGCCAGAGTTCGCCAGGGCAAGCTGGTGCCTTTCCTCCCGACATAATTGACTGATTATATTCGCCACTAGTGTGATCTGAGTTTGTTGTGCCGGAGCCGGGGATGCAGTCGACAGTATAGCATTATAAGATTCGATATGTTCTGATGCAAAAACTGCCTCGGCCAAAGCTTGCGTATCAACTGGAGAGGCTGGTGTTGCGAGGGCGGAAGCCTCGATGATGTTGAGCAGGGCACGTAGGGCCGTGGTGACGAGCAAGGGAGCATTCGAAATCGGGCAGACATTAGCCAGCAAAGCTGGCAGGGCTCCGGCGGCAAGAAGCGGTTCGATAAAGGCAGTTCCGCCTGTCAAAGTATAATTTCAGCATACAGTCGAGATGACTGGGTGTGTGAGAACTGGCGACCTACCGTTGGCGAAGCTTGCGAGGAGCTGAAGAACCTGCAGCCTCACGTTCTCTTCCTCGCTCAATCCCCGCGAGTTACCGTGGGGGCGAGTGTCCTTGCCGTTTACCTTGGCCGGCGATCGAGCGGCATTGAGTATCTTGACGATCGGTTCCAGCACGCCCAGTCCAGCCCACAACTCTTTCTTTTGCGCGTGGCCAACGATATCATTCTTAAGTGCCCGCAACGCACTTGTCTGTTCGATATAGCTCCTCGCACTCAGTATCTGGGAGAGGATCGGGGGACTTGACAATCGCGCCATGATGGAGATATTCGGTGATGATGCGGGGAAGGACCTCGGCTCTCTGCTGTCGACTTCAACCAGCACGTCGTGTGCTTGCAAGGACGAAGTGGTGCGGCGGCGGCGACGGAGCTTGCGTCAGAGGCCAAGGTCCATGCAACTGGTCGAGTGTCAAGCAGGGGCGGTTTGAGCTTTACAAAATCGGCAACCGTCTCCCCGGCGAAGGTGGCGATGTAGTGACCGGTGCGGTTCTCGAATGGTGTTTGTTGAAGCCTGGTACTAGGTTGTGAGTCGTACAGCAGATGCAATGAAGCCAGGAAGTCTTTCGCAAGATGGCCCACGATTAATCAATCACCTTCAGGGCGATAGGTATCCGTAGGCTGGGAAACTGGGTACCCGTGCCAGTTGGCGGCACTGGGGGATAAGGCACGTGCGTTTTACGTATCGCAACCAGTCGTTTTCAGGATCCTCACATGTCAGCTGAAGTTTGGGGTAGCGCCTGGCGTGTGCCACCTGCTGTCAATGTAAGAGTGTATGCTGCCCTCCTTTCAGTTTCAGCCTTGAAATTGAGTACAGTTGATTAATCTATGAGCCTCCAAATAATAGTATTCTCAAGGAATGCGTCTTTGCATGCCAGTTTTGCCGCAGTTTTCTTCCCCCAGATGATAAATAACAAGTGTCCCAGGAGGGAACTGGAGCTCCTCATTGATAAGGTTAAAAGCGCCTAACAAACTGGGTGGCTGCGCGCTAAATGTGCTGGCCAATATCCCGCCTCCTGTCTCATTGATTCACACAGAGCTACCTTCCGGAAAGAGATAAACGGATCATTAGCATTTACTTAGGTACAATAGTCAATCACGTGAGGAAAGTCCGTGTAAGCTGGACCTCATCCTTCCGGGTCAGCGACAATAACCCCTCACTTTAGTCAACTTTGATGAACTTTTGAGGCTTTGAATCAAATGGTGATATCTATAACCAATTCGTATCATTGTGTATGTGTGAGAATAAGGGCTGGAGGATGAAATGTGAAGGGCCTTGAAGTAGATCATTGTCTCTATCGACACCTTAATCTCAGTACCGAACGCTTAAGAATGCTGTAAACTTATTGGAGGACTGTTGAGATATGTTGTCTCGGTTTTTACTCTTAGACTAATCTGCCATTTGTCATTAAACAAGCGCCGCTTCGTTTCCAGTCACCCTCGTAAATAAGAGTAGAAAGCCACTGTATGATACCTCCTTCATGCAAGTTGTGTGAAATACTTGATTGATTCCAGTGACGTAAAATTGAGACGGGAGTCGTGGCAGCAAACGTCCATGATCGTTGACCTTTTCCACCGCTGATGTCGAACAACTGGTGGGTCGACTCTTATCTTAATACTTCTCTCTTGTTCATATATCCCGCCTAAAGCTCCTGTCACTCAAGAGATGCTGGAAGGAATGGTTTTACTACGGCTCAACCCAGGCTTGTTTGTGTCAGGCCTTCGTCCTTCTCATGTATTTTATGACATGTCCCTTCTCTGTTCTTTGTCTCAAGCTGCATCTTAAAAACCCCATCTCAACGCTTATGCAACGACGGATGGCGTCTTACCCTGACTCAGCTGCTATGCAATTCATCATGCCCGTCAAGTAGGACAACGTGAGTGACTATGAGGGTACTGGAAGCAGAAGCGGTTTTTCAACAGCCTGTAGTAACACGCTACACCGTGATGTCAAAAGTGCGATAGAAGCCCTAGTTCAGCAAGTAAAGCTCATACTAGACTATTCCATCTGCTTCATATGCTGAGAGAATCCTAGTCTCTACGCCGTCAGTCACTAGTGCTCATTCGACGTCTACAACCTCAAAAGAACAGCTACCACCCTCCCTAGGCTACGTCTCTTAGGCAATGAAACGATAGAAGCTATGACGAAAGAGGAGTACCCGTCGGTTTTCTCGAAGCCCTTAATACATTCTTCATGGCTACAGCAAGATGATCCCTTAGAACTCCGTCAACGCTTGGATCCAAGCTAACCATCAATACCGACAAACAACAGCCAACTCAGCTCTCCCTCACCCACAACTCTGCCGAGCGCTCTGCAATTCGAACGAGGAAGAATGTATGATGGTGATAGACCACTGACAGGGAACGAGATTCGGTGATGGCGGGTTTGCTAGAAACGTATCCACAAGGAAACCAACCAGGACGGCAGCCAATTATGGCCTATTTCGCAAGGAGACATGGTGTCTACCAACTAAGAACTAAATCAGCAACTGCAATTGTCAAGTAAGTTCTTTACAAATGGTTACGTACAAAAAACATCCAGCGTATCCATTCAGTCAGCTCCTACCCCCTCAGGTCTGTTTGATTCCATCAGACAAGCTGCATATTCTCACCGATGTTGAAGAAAACAGCCATATACGAGCGATCCCGGTTAGCTCAATTGGTCAGAGCGTCGGACTTTTACGACTACCACAGTCAACAATGTTATCCGAAGGCTGCGAGTTCGACCCTCGCATCGGGAGGTGTTCCTTTTGCTTTTTGGCACCTTAGTGTAATTTTCTGAGCGTGAATGGCTTCAAATTGCTAAAAACAATCGAGGAATACGCGGCTACACATGACGTTACATGTGATTGTCTGTCTAATTGAGCTGTTTGTGAATTTGCTATAATATGTTAGACCAAGTGCGTTGAAGAGTTTAAAGAGTAAATTTAGTTCGTATGCATCTTTCGTTGAATGGTTAGGATATGTTTCCGTCAAAGTTGGTCAGAGCGAATGGATGATTTCAGTAAATGACTAAAAACCCAAAATTGAATTGGTTATGTTGTCAATAAAGCTGAAAACTCCTACGAAGAAGTACAGTCACGCAATGAATGATGGGGACATCCCGTGGCCGGAAGCCTCGCACATATAAATGAGCATCGATTTTCACTAGCTTTCAAATACGGTTGATTGACATGATGAAGTGTGCAGATCCCTCGATTTACTGGTGGTATAAGGTACGGTTGAATGTAGGCTTTGATAACCACTACTAGTGGAATCCCATTCTCCCAAGCGCACGCAACATGCTGCCTGCGTCACTGACATAGTTCTTTTGGCCAACACGGCACGGAGGGAGTAATTTGGGTTTGAGAATCAACTTCCCCTTGCGGAGTTGCCAGTTAGGTGCGATACGTCTAAAAGGCAACCTCGGAGCGGGGCACACAGCCCGCCGGCTGACGGATGTCTCATCTCATTGGAGCAACCGGATCTGGACCATGTTGTCGGGTTCCGTCATAGTGAGTAAAAGGTGGCCTCAAAAGCCCGTATGAAGGCGGTCACTAAAGCGGGATGCAGAACTGTTACGTACAAGCTAGACACCTAAGCGGACGAAGGATCGGCTAGGTGATGGACAAAGACGAAGAGAGTGTATCTTCTCTGGTCCAGGTGGGCATATGGACCAAAAGAATAAAATAAAAATAAAAGAATCGTATGCTGTCCAAGGTGGTGCAATCGTGAGAATCAATCAAGGACTGGGGGTTATCTGGCGCGAGATTACTGACATCTGACGACTTGTAGTGACACCGGCATTCGAGGCTGGGGAGCCTGGTAGGGGATCAACGATAGGCGGGGTTGAGCAAGGCAAGGTGGACGCCTAGTGTATGAATCAAAAAAGTCAACCACTCCCCGCCCCAAAACAACACAAAGTGGCAGCCAGCAGCACGTTGTCTCGGTGCGGTTTCCCATACGAGGAAGGCACCTAAGGCAGGTACGTGGAACTCAAAGAGGTTCGTCTCAAACAGGCTGGATTGGATCGTTCAGAAGCCCGCTTGCCAGTTCACTGGTGCCCCGTTGTTATCTTCTAGGCGGGTGGTGCCAAGCTTCTTCCCCCCCGTCCCACGTATGGTTCCTCATATCTCTACGGATAGAGATGGGGAGGGGGAAGAAAAAAATTCAGCCTCCTAAACGGCGCCTCCGGTCCAGGCCCAAGGTGCTGTAACCAGCCAGTACCCTGTAAGCACCTGCGTGAGAGGGTGTCCCGATGCCCCAGTGGGGGTAGAAAGGGTTACAATACTGGACCCCAAAGCAACCTTAGTGGCTTCCCTCGGTGTCCCGAACCAGAAGAATGGCCCACCTAGAAGGGCCGCCTCAAGGAAAGAGTATGGTGCAATCAGCGGGCCCCCAGATATCACAAGGGGGAAAAAAAAACAGCCCTCTGCACTGATAGCACGTAGCACCACTCCTGGCACATTTCACACGTCCATGTGCCAATTGCACCCCACTAAACCCGCCACAGATGACTGGCTGGAAGAAGCAAGCGTGGTGCTTGGCTTCGGTGCCGAGACCGCAGAAAATCAGATTCGCGCGTCCTCCTCCACACATGCCATGCCATGCCAATATTATTCTGGTACTTCTCACTGGTTAGCGGTACGTAGTCTGGATTACCCATTTTCCAGTCCAATTACTAGCCCGTTAGTCCACTCTTTCCCCCTTGACCTGCTGCTTTTTGCTGGTAGTGTAGTGCTTGCTGGGTTCGCTGGTGCCGATGAGCCCAGTGAGTGGCACTTGGGGGGGACCTGGTATTAGGTAGGTAACGTGAACTGGGCGAATGTGTTCAGGCCATCCACGTCGGCAAAACGAGCGCCCTCCTCCCGATTTTCCAGCAGGTGTTAATCTGATCTTTGTAGTTCTGTCAATCTGCAAATCTGCGCCTACTCCAGACATACCAAGCCTTCCACGTTGTTGCCCTTAAGCACTATCAACCGGCCTCTGCTCACTCTCCACGTCCGCTCGTTCTGCCTCCATCAAGACCCACGATGCGCCCGGGACCATGTTGACAACATCTCCCATCGTCGCCAGCTCCGCCAATGCCTCGCCGAGCAACTTTCATTATGCCCCTACGCGATCCTCCCCGCACTCATCTCCTGCCCGGCTTTCGGCCCCTTTGCCGCGGCGACACTCTGCATCCAGATCCTCCCCGTCTGCCTCAATGGCCTCGCCCTCCCAACAACCACGCCCCAAACAATATGTAGCTGTCGATGCGGGCACACAATATTCTCCCATGGAACCATCGAACCAACACGCCCAGGCGCAGGGTCAAGAAGGTGCCGTCGATGTCCCGCGCACCTCTGTCCCTGCGACGCCTGCCGAACCCCCACCACCACCGCGTCCTCAGCCGATAGACCCTTCCGCACCGCTTCCGCGACCACAACCACCAACACAATCACAGGCTGTCGTGGCTCCCGTTATACGCCAGGCCACGACTGTCATGGCTTCGCCCGGCAAACGACGCAATTCCCAAGATCCTGCCGTCGCGCAGGCGAGCGCATTCACCGCTGGCGATTCGTCTACGAGCGCCACTAAGCGCCCTAAACCGACAGCCGGGCCGCCCAAGATTTTGCCTCAACGATATGAGCTGTGCAGCGTCGAGGACATGGTCGTCCTGATAGCACACATGTTATCGGAGCTCATCGAGACCAACGACGCCCTAGCCCTTCGTTCCGGCAGCCTGACTCGGTTCCACTCGAGGTGAGCAAAAAAAAAGCTCTTCATGTTTTCTTTGATGTCGCAGTGCTCACAACATATTTCGCGCAGAACGGCACCGAGTATCTCGGTTCTTGAATACTTAAACAGATTAGCGAAACATGCGACGCTGACACCGCCGCTATTACTATCCATGGTCTACTACATCGACCGTCTGTGTGCATTATATCCAGAGTTCACCATCAATACGCTCACTGTACATCGTTTCTTGATAACGGCCGCCACCGTCGCCGCCAAGGGCTTATCAGACTTGTTCTGGAACAACACGACATATGCGCGGGTAGGAGGTGTTAGGGTCGCTGAGCTCAAGCTCCTCGAACTTGAATTCCTCTATAGGGTAGATTGGAAGATTGTCCCGAACCCGGAAGTTCTTGTTGCGTATTATCGTGGCCTGGTCGAGCGCTGCCCCGGCTACGCCCTGCAGGACGAAGAGGCAACCGTAGAGGACGAAGATTCCGACGACGTCGACGAGGAGGACGGGTCAACTGAAATTTCAGACGTTGCCGGTGACGATAGTGGGGACTCGCCCGATGATGCGAGCCCGACCAAGTCGCCGCCTTCTGAAGCCGCAGTAGAAGCGGCGCGAACTCAGTCCTCGTAAATGATTGTTGGGACACCTATTTTCAATAAAAGGGAGGGCGCATGTTTTGTTTTCTTTTCTTTATTCTTCCTTTAAAAACGGACGGGCATCACTGCGGCCTTTAGAGGCATGGCAAAGCGGCGTTGGGACAGGCGGGATCATTTTGAATGTTGAATGAGTGACAGCGGTAATGAAATACCACACTTTTCTGAGTCATCTAAACCAATCATCTCATATCTGGGAGTGCATCTTGCATGTTCGAATATGACTTTATACTATTATTTATTCTCGGAGATATCTCCGGTTTGTCGAATGAATGTTTGACGCAGCAGGCGGTGGTCCCATTTCCTCCTTCTCAATTCAGTGATGCGCTGCACCCGTACACCGTAAACCTGGAAAATCTGCCGAACTAATCCCGGTCCTGCCAGGCTGGGGTCCCCATCGAACCTCCCCTCCAACAACCATCCATCTTCAACCCGCCCCCAAACGAAACCAGCGCTGTCACCCGGAGCGCCAACACGGAAAAATCAACGGGTTTCAAACCATTGCCGTAATCATGCGCGCCGCGTCCTTCTTTTCGGCGCTGTTCGCAGCGACCCTCGCAACCGCAGCCGAGGCGCGCCTCGCCAAGGTCTACGTCCAGCCCGTTTCCCTCACGAGCACCTCGCCCTCCCTTCTCGCCGAGGTCGACTACGACGTAAAGCAACCCTCTGAGGCAACCGTCCCCTCCTTCGAGTTCCCCGAGCTTCCCGACGACGGCGCGAAGCTCGTGCGCGTCGGTGTCTACGACCCCAAGACTGCCAAGTGGATTTCCTCTGTGTCCGTCGCCTCGACAGAGAACTTCGCCAAGGGGTACCAGCCCAACATCCTGCTCAGTGTCGATGCCGAGGGGAACGTCATCGGGGCGGGTCTGAAGGGCGTGAAGATTGATGCGGGTGCTACGAGGGATTTCGGACCGCAGGCCGTTGTGAAGGTTGCTGGGCACGGAAAGACGCCAGAGCTGAACAAGCCTATCGTGCTGAGCCCCGAGGGAAAGAAGGTCGTGCAGGAGGAGAAGACGCTGTTCCAAAAGTATGTTGCCCCTGGTCCTTGGGACTGCACGCCGTGGGCGCAGCTTGATGGCCTTGTGCTAACGGTGAATCAGGTACTGGTGGGTGGCTGCGATAGTTGTCCTCATGACGGTTACGGGTGGCGGAGACGGAAAATAGAGAATGAGGCAGAGGGAGGTAGCTTTCACGAATACCCATTAATTGACCTTTTCGTTGATTTGACAGCATGCCCAACACCACTCTTGATTTGCCTAGGCTGAACTGAAACCACCGTTGATGATGTCTACATAGTGCGTATCCCCTATGAATCCTGCCTTGAGAAATGATTGGTCTTCTACCGCTTCTACTTTGTGGGTGGTTAGGCTCCGGCATAATACTACTGTTGTTTGCTTGGAGATCCAGTGTCATAGGCTACTTGACATTCGTGCTTGGATCCTCAGCTCATATATGTGCTGAGGCTAGGATGGGTACCAATTCAGCCGGAGAAGCAATGATTCAGAGGGGCTTAAAGTATCCGCATAACTAGCTGCATACCACTCAACCAATTTGTCAGAGCCTCAATATGTCTGAGGCTTGTTAAACTGAATCCAGTAGAGTGAGGAGGTATCGGTAGCTCGTCGCACCTCGAAGGTGCAGCTGAGCTGGGGCAGGCAAGAACAGACAAGGCACGTGCAGTACAGTTTTTGTGGGCTCCACCCCCAACTGGGCTAGCGCCGTCGCTCAGAGACTCTCCCTACTTACATGTAAACCACACAGGCACCTTAACTCTTAAAAGCTGGGACCGGGGGAAGGTACGATCGGCTTGATAAAATCCGTCGCTTGCCTGCGCAGCTTCCCTCCGCTCTTAGTCTTCATCCACCTACACTAACCCACCCAAACTTTTACAACAACGTTTGCGACTGCACTTCACTACTCGCCCTTTCGTTGCGCAAATTTTACCAAAAACCAACAACAACAGATCACCTCTACGGAACCCACCTAGCCAGACACAATGGCTGCCGAGAACGGATCCGTCACCGACCCCACCACCAATGCCCCCGAGGTCGAGACCAAGGGAAAGGGCAAGGAGGTGGCCAGCGAGGAGCCCGTTGAGCAGAGCGAGGCCATGGAAGAGGATGATGAATCCAGCGACGAGGAGGAAAACAACAACGAGGTAAGGCTACTTCCCTTCCCAACTCTACCTGCTTTGCGCTGAAGCTAACACAACAAAATAGACTGCTGAGCCCGGTAAGCACGCTACGGGAGCTCTTGTATGACGGTGCGACTAACCTTTCTGTGCTACAGCTGATGAGGATGACGGCATGGACGAGATCGACCTGAACAACATTGTCGAGGGTGGCCGCCGCACCCGCGGTCGTGTCATCGACTTCGCAAAGGCGGCCGAGGAGAACCCTGCCGACGATGATGATGACGATGAGGACGACGACTTCCAGGCTCCTGACGACTCCAAGATGGACGAAGACTAAGCGGACAAACGCGCTATCTCACTTTGTCTTTCTCCCCGACCCCCACTCGCAGTGGTATAGTCATGGCCATGGAACGAACGGCACAACAGAAAACGGAATGGGTTATACAAAAGTTTCATGCCGGCCTGGTAGTGGTTCGTTCTGATGAGAAAGTATTTGGCGGTTGGGCACATCGGGTCACGCATTTGACGGATGGATATTCTGCGTTTGGACGGCGTTTAGAGACGAATTGGTCTGCTGTCTGGCCCCAATACCCTGGTTGGGAGGGGATGCGTTTTGTCTAGCCCGCGCTGCCCTGCCCGTGGTGCCATTATCCCGACTATGAGAGCTATGGAAATGAAGATTATGCGACATGGAATCGTCCCGTGACTTGATTGTGACTGTAATCGTATGTGTTGTCTCTTAGTATTTCATGCGCACGTGGGCCGATGCAAGGCGTTGTCTACCATGTACTTTTCTCAGCAACTGTGCCTCATGGCAGGTCCTCACAAGCTATCAGCCAAGGAGCTGTCCACACACCAACAGCCATCTCAGTCGCTGATTCATGCATGAAATGGCCTAGAACCGTCCAGGGAACCAGTACTGCCCCGGCAATGACATGTACGTAGCTACGTAACTTGCCTTGTTTGTAAACGGGCCCTGTAATGCAGACAGGACGAACTGACCCGTCTTTTATTTATTTATTTATTCTGTCAAGTAAGATATGGTTGGTATAACGGGGCTTTGACATGTCGTCCTGAGACTTCAAGGTCTTGGCTTGGATCTCTACAGACTGCGACTCGCTTTTAAAACTGCCCTCCCCGCTCTAGAATGCCAGTGCCACCCAGAAGGTAAATGGGAGGGAGGCGCCCTAGTAGTCAATGGGTTCTTTATCGCCTTACTTTTGGGACGGGCATCCCGCCCAGCGCCAGGTCCAAGTAACAAGCCGCATTCGCGGTCTGGCCCGTCCCATCGCATATTAGGTCATCACCGTTTTCAATTGGACAGCGGGAAGAGCGAGACCACTTCCAAAAGGGTTGTTCCCCAGAGCAGTCTCCGATGACAGGACACATCGCATCTAAAATGAACTGGACACGCTCTCGTTGTCTCGAGTAAGAACTCATCTCTCGTCTATGCGGCTCCCCGTTGATCTTCTTCACCCCTGACTTTTTTTTTTCTTCTTCCTTTTACTTTCCCAAGGTTCGGACACAAAATCTCGTCCACCGTCCGCCCCTTTCTCACGCAGCATTTAGACCTATACCCACTAACAAACCCCCCTTCCCCTTCCTCTGACAGGGGCGAACGGACCAAGACAAAAGACGTCAGGGTCAGGACTGCCGCTACGGAGCCTTACCAAATAAAATTAAAGATCGCCCAGCCGTCATTAACATACCCCGGCCGAGCGAAGCGACAACCCGACCTAGCAACGAGCACATCTTGGATGGACGACGAAAAGTTCTTTATTGTCTGACACAATCTAGCCCCCCTTCCCGCCACTTTTGGCATTCCGCCTCGAGACAAGTCCCGCGAAACGCCGCCGGGTATTGTCGCGCGCATACCGTACAAAACCTCGATAGTTTAGGAGCCCCCAAAGTTGGCCGCCATTTGACGGCGAAGCTTCGGACACCATGGCTTCAAGGTGCGTACTCTACAAACTTATACCGACGCCCCTTTCATCCTGCACCTGTTCTGCTCTTCTGCGCGTGGGCTCGCGCAATGCGAATCCGTCGCGAGGTACCTCCCGAGACCATAAACTTGTGTAGACGTCATGCTGCGAGCACAAAGGCCACGGTAGCTACGGACTCGACGGCGGCCCCTCGATATATCGCGGTTCTCGCACCTCTTGTTCTCGAGGGTCACGTCTGCGGGTCTGGTGCTTGGCGACTGCAAGTGCCGTGCCGGCAGACACAGAACCACACACCAAGAAAGTAAGCAAGTTGGACAGAAGCTAACGAGCGTCTGCGGACTATAGATTCGGCGCCTCCTCGCTCCACCAGCGCGACTCCCGCAGCGCCCTGTTCGAGGGCTACACCGGGGACAATTCAAGGCGGCCCGTCAGTGCCTCGCCCTCGCGCCTCGGCGGTGGGTATGGCTACGGCTATGCCGGCGGCAGCGCCTCCCCCGCCCCCATGGGGAGCCACCTCGGCGTCGACAACGGCACCCGGGGGTTCCGACCCGCGACGCCCAACTCACGGTATGCCCCCACAGTTCCAGCTGGAGAAGACTGGTATCTGGATGTAGAGACGGCATGCTAATACGAACGGATTAGTGGCCAGTACAGTGACGCAGTGCTCAACGAGCTCGAGAGCCAGAACGATGCACAGGTGGAGGGTATCATGGGCAAGGTCAAGATCTTGAAGGACGTACGTGTGCCATCATCCTGTTACGCAGCTCCTCTGTCCCTGTCATCAGGGGTCTTGTGCAGAGGGGCGCTGCGAACCTAGCAAATAGACAACACGTTGCTGACGTTCGGGGGCCACAGATGACGGTAGCCATTGGCGATGAGATCCGCGAGTCCTCCGCCCTCGCCGAGAAAATGAACGACACCTTCGACTCAACGCGGCTGCGTCTGCGCGGTACCATGAACCGTATGTTACTGATGGCTCAGCGCACCGGCGTCGGCTGGAAGGTCTGGCTCGGTTTCTTCGCCGCCGTGTGTTTCCTCTTCATTTACGTCTGGCTATTTTAAGAGGCACGCATAGAACCTCTGAGAAGGCCAGACGCTTATCAGACGACGGACCCGAAGGCCCACCGGGGAGGGACGTCAGTTCTGAAAGGCATACGACCGTAACGAGACGAAGGACGAGCCCTCACGGGCCGCCTTCGGCCGCATGAAGGAAGGCGCAAGAAAGCCAGGAAAAAGCGACTGTTTGTTCCCGCGAGGGATAGCTGTATGGCGGTCTTCTCTGTTTACTGATCACGATGGAATTGCGAGGGAGCAAGCGGGACCTACAGTTCACACGCAGTCACGGGTTGGTCGATTGATAGTTTTCTTGCATTCTCGGCGTTGGGAGGCGTTTCTGATTCCCGTACTCCGCGTCGCTACACCACCGCCCCGCTTCACATACGTTGGAATCCACAGACTCATCTGCCATGAGAGAGAGAGATATGAACGCGGCGGGGGTAGCGACAAGAACGAGAGCGGGAACAAGAAAAAAAAAAAAAAAAACCCCCGAATTTCAAACTGGAAGGCGTGACACGAAATGAGAACATAGGAAAAAGAAGGAAGCAGGCCTTGATTTGTTTGTGTGTGTGTGTGTATGTTTCTCTCTTATTCGACATGTGTCTACGTTTTGAAAGGACCAAGGGAAACGGGGATAGTTTGTTTTTGTTGTTGTTATTGTTGTTTTGCCTACGGTACATTATATGATCTGTGTCTTTCTTGTAATAACGTGTATACCGTCTAATTCTACCACTTTTGAGGGGTCTATAAAACAAAACGGCTGCGTGTGTGTGTGTTTGGTCTTTTGGCGTCGTCAATCATACAATGTCCCGTCCTGCCATTCCCCCTAGACCAAATGCAAGTCCCCCAAAACTGCTACGGTTCCCTATGTCTTGCTTCTTTTCCTCTCCTTCTCTCCCACGATAGCTTTAACATGAAAAAAAAAAAAAAGAAGAAATAAAAAAAAGGTCAAATGGGTATCATGAATCACCCCTCAACCCCCCCCCAGCCCAAATCCTCAGGAAAGGGGTCTCTCAACACGACTACCGTCTCTGAGCCCTGACATTGGGACTGCTCTGCATCATACTACTATCCATCATACTGCTCTCGGCCGAAAGAAGACCGCTGAGATCCATACTGCTCCGCGGCGCCCCGCCCCTGCCGCGCGTCGGGCTCAGCGGGGCCCTCAACAACGGCGCCGCCCTCGGCGGGAAGCTGATGTCTTCTTCTTCTTCTTCCTCCTCATCCTCGTCCTCCTCGTCGCTGCTAGGTCCCCTGACGGAACTGGTAAGATCCACTTCGGAATCCGTGTGCTCATACACGCCGCTTAGCTCGCCGGCCTCGGGAATGTCGTCGTCGAGGTCGGCATCCATGTCCATGCCCATGCCGAGATCATCCTCACCCTCGCCGGGCGCGAGGAGGTCCTCTTCGTCGAGCAGATGTCCGCCGCCCTCGGCCTCTAGTTCTTCGCCGCCGTAAATCTCTTCGCCGCCGCCGCCGTCCCCGCGCGCCATGGCTTGTCTGAAGGCGTCGTCCGCCATGCGCATCCGTGCCTCGACGAGATTATCCCTCTCGTCCTCGCCGCCCACCTGTCGTGCACCGGCAACAGCGGGACTGAGACCACCTTCGCCACCGTCATCATCATCGTCGTCGTCGTCATCTTCAGAGGCGTCTTCAGCGGTACTAGTCATCCCGCTCAGCCCCCCATCAGAATCGTCGTCGTCCCCACCGTCGAACCCGAAACTCTCCTCGGCATCAGGAATCTCGTCGTCCAAATCCCGCACCTCCTCCTCTTCCTCCTCAGCATCGAGATCAGCACCGAGATCCCCGCCGTCTTCCAACACGTCTTGCCCCGCGGCCTCGGCCTCGGCCAGCTCCTGCACAAGCTGCTCCCTTCGCATGGCCTCGGCGTGCTCCGCCTGCTCCTTTTGTTCCTCGCGCATCTGGTGCAGCGTCTTGGGCACGCCGGGCGGCCGGAGCCAGCCGCTACCGAAGTTCTGGACATTCAGCCGCCGCCTGTCCATGTGTTGCTCGTCGACGCGCAGCCTAGCGAGCGCCGACCGCTCAATGAGGAGCTGGCCCGCGCGGCGCGAGTTGGAGCCATGTTGTTGCTGCTGCTGTTGTTGTTGGCCGTTCTCGTGAGCGTAACGCTGCTCGTGGGCTTCAAGTAGCGCCGCTTGGGCTATTGGGTTGCGGGAGGATGTGTACCATATCGAGTGCGACTGTTACGGGCCGGGAAGTGTTAGCAGATTGTCACGACGGCGGGTGGGCTGGGTTCAAGGAAGGGAGGGGACGAGCTTACGTCTCGCGGGGTCAGGTCTGGGAGGAGACCGAACATGGTTGGGTTATGCGTGCCGGGATGGCAGCTGTTTACATATGGTGGATAATTGAACTTGCCAACGGGGGGAATAATCGTCGAAGTCACATGAAAATCAGGTATCGCATGTCGTTGAGAGCTGTACGTGTGTGCGAAATGGCACTCCCCCCCCAGCTGCAGGCGCCTAGGCTATCGTGAGGTTGCAAGAGTAAACAATTCTACAAAATACGTACTTGCGGCAGTGACGGGGGTAGGTGGGTTAATACCCCACAATCCCAGACGCGCCGCGCCTAGCGCGCTTGGGGCCAACCCCGCCGCAAAAAAGTTCACGATGCTTTCACTAACAGACGGCAGAAAATGCGTTGCGTTGACTACAACCTGTTCATCCAACGACATCCCTCAATCACGATACTCAATAATAGCGAGGTTGTTTTCGGCGCTACGACGGGTGGGTTGTGTGTGTGCACATCCTGGGGACCGCCCGTCACTCGGCCGCGCCCCCCTCTCCTCTCCAGGCAGAGAGCAGCCCTAGCAACCGCCAGCCGGAAGACTGAATAAGTCGGGGAGAAAGGGTGGTTGCGTCGACTGCCCCTGGACCGTTGGTCGCCCACCGCCAAAATATATTGCCTGCCTGCCAGCCTCCCAGTCTCTGAATTGTCGAGGCTGTGTGCGCTGGTTGCCACGTTTCATTGAAGATGCCCACGGGCCACGGCTCCTCGCGGCGGCGGCTACTTCTCCTCGGTTCCAGTGTTTCTCCAATTTCTGTGAGGTAATAAGAAACAGGGGGGTCGCGCATCGCTGCCGCCCTTCTTCTGCCCACTATTGCTGCTTTTCGTCTGTCTACCCTAGCATTCGTGGGTGCCTGTCTGTCCCCCGACTCGTCCCGTACTAGACGGGGGAAAACCAAAGGACCAAGTCCTCCCCCCTTCGAGGCCCACGGCGGGCACTTCTGGTGTGTCTCGTCGGGAAAAGTCGGAATGGACGATGACAACAAGGTCATTGGCATTGGCCATGCATGTGCTGGTGGAGGTTTCAAATGCCATGTTTCCGCAATGTGGAAATCTTCCTTGCGGCCCATGGGCTGACTCGAGTGGGTTCCTTCTATTTTTTTTTCTGCCGCTGTTTTTTTTTCTTTTTTTTTTACTTTCCTGTAGCGTACGGTCTGTCAGTGGGTGGCCGCTCCGATATAGGGCGGTCTAGCATTACAAAACCGCTTCGTCAGGGGTTACACCCGCCCGGCCCTAGTTTGGAAAGGGGAGGAAACGGCCGAGCCGACTTCGGCGGGGCTTCGCTAGCGCTGTAGGCATGGCAGATGCCAGCCATGCTGTGCAGGACGTAGGTCCGCTTCCTGTTGCTGGTGGGAGAAAGAGAGACCCCACCAGAGAAAGTGCGGAATTTGTTCAAAAACAGTCAGCCCTTTTCCAGAGCCGATTCAGGCATTTATAATTCCTGTTGCTCAGGCCGGGCAGCCACCGTATGCATAGAGAGAGCATGGGGGGTTTATCAGGCCCAGTCTGACCATACCATTTGACAGCATTTAACGCTCTGTTGATTCGCCCGGTTAATCATGACCGAAATACATGCCAGTGGGGGTTACGGGAATTAGCAGCGCCCCAAACATTGTGGTTGTAAACATCAGCCGCCGTTACACTCAGATTGGGATAATAGAGGGTGGTCTCGAAAGGGCATAGGCGATCAGCCGCTCGCGGAATCTTGGAATCTTGGGTTCAGTTATGCGTCCATCCAGATCAAGGGTGCAGACACGTGCTGCTTGTAGAGGCTAACCTGGAAAACCCTAATTGTGCTCCAAGAGAACAAAATTCATCAAGGTTGGGGGGTTAAAAAAAAACAAAACAAAAAAAAAGTGTGGTGCGCAGTATGATAAGCATCCTTAGCACACACCAGCTCATGCACCTCCACGGCATCTGTGACGTAGGAGCTGCGTGTCACTGTCGTGGTTCATCACTGAGGAGGAGTGAGACTGTGTCTCTCTCTCTGTGTTGTTGTATGGCGTCCACTGGTCTTCGGCAGGCTAAGCGTTTGATTCCCTTCTGCGAGGAAGCCCCTCTCCTCTACATAGTGTATGTAGCACACACACTATAGTAAACCCCCCTCCTTCTCCCGACGGCCCCTCCAACTCCAATAGCCAAGAGGCGAGAAACGTCTGTGCGCTCACACCAGCAGGGGCCCGGAAAGGCAGGGAACTGTGAGATCTCGAACGCCTCCGGCCGGCGGGGTTGCATCTAGCAGGGGTAAGACTAGGGGATGCCTAGCTTCACTGTAGCTCAGATGCAGATGCAATCAGTCGCTATCGTGGTTGGTCCGAGATAAGACGGTTGAAGATGCGGCTCCTGTCATGATTGGCCGGCCTCTCCAATTTCACGTTGTCGATTTTTTGACAGCAACCCTTATGGCGTTGGCCGACATCATCCCTCGAATACTGTAATACGGCCAAGTCACGCGCCCACCTCCATCTCACTGGCCTCGATATGCCGGACGTGAAAGGATACTGACTGAGTGGTTGCCTTATCCGTATGTCATTCTGTGCAACAATGGAATGTATCTCGTCCCATCCCATCTCATCTGGCTGCAGCCGTCGCGCTGCCTTGGATGCATGTGCTCGGTGCTCCTTACTATTGGTTAGCCTTCCAATAGAGTCTATAATGTTTGCAGTCGCGACGTGCATCTCTTCGGGAATCTCGCTCTTCTAGGCCGCGTGCAATCTTGCTCGTCTGCAGACCGACCTATTCTCTCTCAGGGACTTTGTCTATCCACCCTCCCACAGGGCACCCATGGTCAAAGACGCCTCCGGCGCTTTCGAGGAAAAAAAAAGTTAAGTAGGTTACTCTCGATATCCCCCTGGTCTCCTATCGGCGTATGCCGCACAGCCATGTCTAACCTCAAGTTCCGTAGATCGGAGGGGGCGATAGATGGATGAGATACGCTCTCCATCCTTATTCGCGGTTGGCACTCCAGGCACAGATCGGAATTTGTATCGGCGTCAGCTTAATGATGCAATAGACTATAATTATCGGACATGGTCTGGTCCCTTGGACATGCTCCTACGGCTGGTTGCTGCTACTACAGATGAATGGCGCATGCATAACCGCCAGACACGGAGATGAACTGATGGGGCATAAGAGGCGCCTCCCAGTAGTAGCATGTGCAAGCGCAGTTGGAGATGAACGAGGTTCAATCCCCTCTCTCTCTCCCTCCCTCACTTCCCCAAACTCCATTCCCCCGAATCACCCGCATCGAGTGCTTGACTTGCCCTTGTTCAAAAAGGGTCCGGGTCCAGTTCCTTAGGGGCTTCCTGCGACCCGTCAGGGGCCCCCAAGGACCGAGGCGACAGACAACCAAGGGCCTCTTTGAAATGCACAGAGATGATTGGCTGGAGCTCAAAGCTTGCTCCTCGGTGACATTAACCTTTCAGCTTCTCTGTTTCGCACGATGCAGAAGTCGACTGGGTGGCCCCTGCTTAGCCTGCATGCGGTGTGTGGGGTGCATTTCTGGACGCTGGATTTGGCCGAAGCGCTGGGTTTCTGTGTCGAATTTCTCTTACACCAAGCTATTGTCGCAAAAAAACACTTGACTGGAAGGAGATTCGTCTGGTTGGAACACCCGGCAAGGATGAACGGGACAACAGGCTGTTGCGTCGGGAATGAGCGGGAGAGGCTGGAATAGATCAGCGAATCCTAGAACATGCGCCTAGAAGGACTTGTGGTTGCCCTGAAGCGAAAAGTGCAGCAGGGTTGAGTACGGCGAACGAATCGCTGCTCGCAACATTACAATTGATGTTAATGCTGAGTTGAAGACATGCTGAACGTAAAATCATGTGATGGCACATTACCCTGGGAAGCCATTGGCAAGTACGATCAGCCCACGGAGAAGTTGGTATTTACGGCGGTTCAAAGAACTCGCTTCTTGAGTCAATGAAAAAGGTGGCAGATGAGGCGGTCTAGCTAGTTAACGACTAGTTCGCTCTGCCCAATTGTCCAACCAAGCGGCTGGCGGCTAGACGCAGACCAGAAGAAAGGTAATTCTGCGGAATTGAGAGGCCATGTCTCCGCTAGTCTCGAACTTCAAGAGCGGAGGTCAGAATGTCCTCATAAAAGTGTAGATCTGAAATTAGGTCACCGCCATTGGCCACGACGTCTGACGGGGACCGCAATGACCCCCGAGGTGTACCGAAGCTGCGAGCCTAGCGTGCAGGTTCGGAGCGAAAGAAGATGCGCAGTGAATTGGACGAGACGATGGGTAATTGTCGGTCTACACCGTAAGGATCAGCTGTGGACCGACTACTATCTCCAAGACGGGTCTAAATAGCGGCGACCTGGGGGATTGAATGCGCTTGCGGACGATATCCATGCTCCCCCAGACAAGGCGACCAGGTAGTACGTCAGGCAAGCCGGTTTATGCCTCGTGGTTGCGGTTGGGCCCCGTGTCGTTCAACTGAAAAGGGGAGTGAGTACGGGGTGAAGCGCTGTTAGCCCAATAGCACGATGTGATGGAACACACCCAACGGTCAGGGGAGAACCCCGCAGAACAACGTTGGCACGTCCGCTGGAGTGGGAAGAGGCCGTCGCGGCGCATGGAGACACAAATTACCGGGAGGTATCACCTTACAGAGGTGACTGGAGACCAAGGTTTCCGGAGAGCATTGGGATGAGTGCGGCGTGTGCCACGGTTAGGGGGAGACAATATGAGGCGAGGCGGATGAAGGAAATGGGTGGATTTGCGGGCAATGGGTGACGGGTGAGTCGACGAGGACAAAAGTCGATCGAGGTTGACGTGGCCAGAGATCACCACAATGTCCTGAATGATGCACCGGTGTGTGGTTGGTACTGTGTGGTGAGTCGAGGAACAAGAGCACCCCGGCGTCTGTATCTTAAGCGTCCCAGTGTATCCGTACTCCGTGCCCCGTACCGAGACACGAAATGATGACCTGAGGTGGTGCTCACTGCTCGACAGTGCACTAGTGCCGATGGTGTCCCATCTCGCTGCCGATGTGCGGTGTTTTT